CCGCTTAAACACCAGGGGTAGGTACCGGGGGTCAGCCGCGGGCTGGAAAGTGAGTATTTCCAGTGAACGTTCCGTGAAACACATGAAGACTGTGGTTTGAGAAGGACGGTACTAGTTTCATGGTTATTATAGCAGCTTTTCTTGCTTTCTTTTTTTTTTTTAAATAAAAAATGGGTGGGTGCACAACAGATCTAACAAGGACAGCATCTAAAGTCTGTCCCATCCCTGCACGCCACAAACACTTGCAGAATTACCTGATTCTAGAAAAGTAAGAGGAAGAAGAAAAAAAAAAAAGTAATTGTACCTTTCACATTCAGCCTACATAATAACATTGTTTGTATAAAGTCAGGTATCCTTTTCTTTTTTTTTCAATCAAAAAAAAAGAAAAATCATTAGGCTGACTGGTCTTGATTGTCTGCCTGAAAGCTTGATGCTGCAGAGCATGTGCAGAGGCTGCCTGCTACAGTCCCTGCAGCAGCCCAAAGGAAATACACCACGTCAAAGACCTGGTGGGCAGGTGTCTAAAAAAACAACCCCAAAACCCACAGTTCCAAAAAGGGCAAACTGGAGAAACAATCCTTTGGAAACGGCAGCTGGCGATCACATTCGATGTGCCACTCCTTCCTCAGCATACCACAGTACTCATCCAACGGCCCTGATAAAACAATTTTTAGTCAGTACTGACTAGTTCTTCAATGGCAGAATACATCTCGGGGTGGTTTTTTGGCATCCCACTGACTTGAAGTTGTGAACAGAAGTAAGAGCAACTCATTAGCGCCCATGCAGAAAATGAATGGTCTGGGGAGAAGGGACTAGAGAGCCACCTCTCTTGAGAGGCCTCTACCATGCGAAGCCTTCCCTATTTCGCTTTTAACTCTGTGGAATTAATAACATTTCCTTTCCATTTCTCAGAGGTTGAGCTCCTCCTCCTCAAGAAATTTATAAATGGAAATATTCTTTGAATCTGTCTGGCTCGAAGCACATCAGTCGATGTCATAGCACAATTATTCATCTAGCAGCAAGCTTCCAGAACGTGCCGCCTGTCGTCTTCCGTTACCAAAGAAGGGAGCTGTCGTGGTTTAACCCCAGTGAGCAACTAAGCCCCACACAGCCGCTCGCTCACTCCCCCCGGGTGGGATGGGGGAGGGAATCAGAAGGGTAAAAGTGAGAAAACTCGTGGGTTGAGATAGAGACAGTTTAATAGGGAAAGCAAAAGCCACGCACGCAAGCAAAGCAAAACAAGGAATTCATTCACTACTTCCCATCGGCAGGCAGGGGTTCAGCCAGTAAAGCAGGGCTCCATCACGTGTAGCAGTTACTTGGGAAGACAAACGCCATCACTCCAAACATCCCCCCCTTCCTTCTTCTTCCCCCAGCTTTATATGCTGAGCATGATGTCATATGGTATGGAATAGCCCTTTGGCCAGTCAGGTCAGCTGTCCTGGCTGTGCTCCCTCCCAGCCTCTTGTGCACCTGGCAGAGCATGGGAAGCTGAAAAGTCCCATTACTTAGCAACAACTAAAACATCAGTGTGTTATCAACAGTATTCTCATACTAAATCCAAAACACAGCACTATACCAGCTACTAGGAAGAAAATTAACTCTATCCCAGCCAAAACCAGGACAGGAGCATTCATAAAGTACATTTGGCCATCTTCAAACATTCTCAGTCCTACCCTGCCAGCTAGCGTACTGGGGGAACAAATGGCAATTATGTCCAGAAGGCAACAAGATACAGGGGCTGCACAACTGACACTTAAAATTAGGGACATGAGGTCACAAATTGAGCCCTGCACTCGATACGCAATGCAAGAGCTCCCTCTCCCTCCTTCCTTTAACACCTAAAATGGGATATGTGATCATGACTGCCATTCTGGTGAGATTCAAGTTCCCACCTTGCTCTTCATCCTCCTTCACTAGTTTTTGATGATAGGGCTGTCACACAGAAATAAATTTGGCCAAGGTTTGGCCAAGCTTTGACTCATCTATCTGAATAAAGTTACAGTCCTGAACCAAACACACCTGCCCCTGGGGCAGCCGGGTTCTGGGGTGACCTCCCACAGCACACCATCAGGCTGGGTCCAGCACAAGCTTCTCGGAGCCATACCCAGCCTAAGCTTTGCTGCCTTGCCTGCTGCAGCTCCAGCTCAGCATGCCTCTCTACCCACAGCCAACTATTCCCACATGGTGCAATGCAGTTTTCCTCCCCTCCTGCCAGCCCAGCAAGATCACCTGAACCTCTCTTCTCCTTCACACAATGAACTTGTGCTGTACACTTCCACCAACAGAAAGGAAGCTGGAGGATAAGTATCCGTTAACTTTATAACATCTTTCTTCCTAGGAGACTGAAGGTAAAATACAAGCTTCGTGTAGACCACAACTGTGTTTAGTGGAAACTGAATACTTAAATGCTTTTTAAAAAGCAACCAGATAGCCCAAGTCAAAGCACTACGACAGAAAGCAGGATGTTTCCATTTAATACCTGAAAGTATGCTAAAATGGTTCTGAAGAACACAACGAACTTGCGCCTCCTTCTCCAAAAAGCATAAAGGGCAGAAGTTGGACATAACAATAATGTTGAAGTAGGAATAAAAGATGGGCCTAAAGTGGATGAAGTACTTTTTGCACAAAAAGCACACTAACTGCAACAGAGTGAACTTTCTTAATCTCTACTAACTCCTAGGAGCTCACGTATCACGGTATTAAAAATCTGGACTGTACCTAACAAAGTGTGCCAGGTGTTGAGTAAAGCAGCTGCTTCCTTTAGTACGTTGATCTGGGAGTACAGCAGCTATTACAAATTTATTCACATGTAAGACTCATGGACATCGGGGCAGGGAGCAGCATTGATTTGACCTCTATTCCTCTTCCATCCCTCACTTCCACTTTATTGACTTTTTCAGTTTATTCAGTAAAATATGGGGAGGGGACCCAACAGAAAAGCAGTATTTATTCATTGTATAAGTCTAGATGAAAAATGGTCAGCTGTCTATTTTATACTTACAAGTTAAATCAATATACTGCACATCATAGTACAGACTCACTGCTTATCTCCAAAATACGGACGGAAAATACAAAGCAACAGCAGTTTTTCCACTGTTACTCAACTTCTGCAGGAACATGACTTAAGGTGTACACATACCTTGTGCTCAGTCCTGCACTTCTCACTTCAACATACAAGACAGTTATGTGAATTGTTTAGATACCTAATGGCTGCAAAATCAGCCCTTAAAAAGCCTCTGCTTTAGAGGCTTTTGTCATACATTTAGAGCAGTGGCTCTGAATGTATGACAAAGATGCCTTTTTCAAAGAGGTGTTAAGTTTTAATCTCAAGAATATATCACAATTAGAAGACATCAAGATTTAAATAATCTCACTTAAATCATAATTTTTCTATCAGAGTTCAGTGAGTTGCAAAAGTTAATTTATTTTTCTTTCCCCTTCAGCATTACTTGGGTAACAGTAATTCAGGGAAATTTTTTTTACTGTCCATGTGTAAGCAGCAAGCCGATAATTACTTGTTTTACATACATTACTATGCTTTGTGGCTTTCAAGAAATAACTAACTTGAACAAAGATTTCAAAACTAAAAACTCGAGAATATAAAGCTAGGGAGAAAACAGGGCATAAAAAAAGAAACAAAATACTGCCAGATGAATCGGTTTATTTTTGTTCCTTTGTAGCTCCCAGAAATTTTCAGTAACAGATCAAACTAGTGGTTTTAAAAGGCAAAGACATGATAAACATAACACTGAGTACATGATAGGCCTCATTAAGATGTGTCTAGAACACATTTTGGAACATAGTGAATACACATTCTCATTGTGCAATTACCTTGCACAATAAAAGTTAACAAAAAAATTAATTTTAAGTAGAACAAAACAGGACAATTGGAAGTTTTGCATGCCAGAAGTTTTGCATGTCATTTCCTCCAGAATATTTGAATGAAAAGTAGTTTTTATAATCTTATCCCTTTTATATAAGAAGGCCTTCTAAGAGAAGCCAAGTGATCCATGTATGAACAGCATTTCATTCAAATCAACTTTCATTCTCTTGTTCTGAGAATCATCTGTAGGGCATACTTCCACTTCAAGCTAAAGGTGAAGGTTTTATTATTTAATTATTTTTAAGGTATGTCAGCACTCCCAGTATTCCTTCAGTTTAAAGCACAATGAGTAATTCTAAGCAGAAACAGAACCTCCCACATACTCCTCCCAAGAGTGGAGAAGTTGCACCAGAAGTTTACTTCCACCTACTGCACTCCCTGGACAAATTAAAATCCTGATGTTCTCCACAGCAGCTACCAGAGAAGATTAGCATTACAGGAACAGCAATATAAACAGACATGGAAGTTAGTGGGCACACAGTTATCTCATACCAGCTATCATAACTGAAGAGGGAATTCTGTGTAGGTTTTGAATTTGTGACCTACTGAAAACAACTTTTATACTCCTTTATTATCAAGTCTCTTTGCCATAATCCTCTCAAGGGGTTGAACAGGGAAGAGCTCTTTATTTTCAGCGTAACAGATGACTGGCTTTTAAATAAGAGATATTCATGTCAGAAAAAAACCCAAAGCATTAGAAAACGTTAAATAACATCTCTCTTAGAGCATAAACCATGGCAGGCATTAAATTCCAACTGCATAAGAATTATATTGCTTCCCGAGACCCAAGATTTGTACAAATTGCTTCTAAGAAGCGTTACAAATATCAGCAAGGACATTGCCAGCTTACTTTCGCAGAAATTTCAATTCATCATTATCTCGGGGAGCAGAACGTCAGCTCATGTCTTAGTACACAGCCTCACCTATCTTCTCAAAAGAAATAAATCTATAGTTTTTGCACTCCTATTCAGCATAAGCCCTTCAAAAAAAAAAAAAAAAGATTGTAGAAGTTTCCTTTTTTTAACGGGCAACAAAAGCCATCCTGGCAAAATTTTTACTCTTTAAGCTAGTACCTATTTGATATTTTAGTTCAGATGTAAACTTCTAAAACATGGATTTCAAGTTGTTGTAGATTTAATAATGCAGATGTAATCATCATCCTGTTTCAGAATAGTGCTGGAAACCCTCAATAAACAGCACAGGTTTGTCTGCCAAAAATCACTTGTTTACAGCATAGTCTCTTGGCACATTCTGACTGGAATATTATAATGTCTGTCATCTTCAGTAATGAGAGTCACCACAGGCCAGTCCTCTTCTGGGTCATTGGGGTAGAGTGTGATGAATTCATCAGTACTATATTTATACAATCGATACACTTGGATGGTATACTGCAGAGCATAAGCAAGGAGAAACATTTCCACCTACATTAGAAAAAAAAGCAGAAATATGGTGTGTAAAATTAAACATAACTTTTACAAGATATTTCTGATAAAAATACTAAACTAATACCTATCAGTTGTAATTTTTCAAAGAAAAAAAGATGAACAAAAGTAACAGAGAATGCATATACATGAGCATCTCTAGTTCAGCATCTCAATCATTCAAGCCATTCTTAACTTGCTGCACAAATAGCTCTAAGATACCATGCCTTTAACATGGAGCTCATCAGACCCAACAACAGCATAGTAGGATACTACTCCTAAAGAAAAGCTACTTTATACAGAGAATCCCACTTCCCTCCTGCCACAAACAGGTAGGAAAGACATCCTCTCGTATCAGTATTCATCCCATTAAGTCACTAAACCAGACAAGAATGGGTTTCAGGCACTGATCCTTTCTCTCTTAGAGGGTACTCTGAACTCTAGCCAAATAAAAAGCAGACAGAAAGCCCTTACAAAGCCTGTTGATATCAGAAGGAATTCAGAGAAAGAAGCTGGAAAGTCTTCTACAGTGGCAAGCATATCCTGTTCTAAATAACAAAGAATATCACCGAAATAAATAAATGTAGTCAGCACAAAAATATGCAACATTACTTACTGACTAAACTAGGCAGCAAAAAAGTCACCAAGTCACCAAGTAATCACCTAACAGTACCATTAACCTGCCTCATCTATATTAGAGTCATCAGATTAAGTTGACAAACACAAACAAAACATAAATACTTCCATGTTTCTAGTGTCTATAATCAAGTAGTGAATTTAACTGCAGTACCACACTTGTAACATATTCAGTGGGATTTTTTTAAATGGATGTTTTAAAATCTTTCCAACTATTCAGCTTATTAACCACTACATTTTGTTTTGGGGCTTTTTTGTGATATGCATATCATTTCTGCAACATTTAAGGCAGTAACTGCCATTAGTTTATCAGAATTCAACTAGTATGTACTACACATGATCATCTCTTCATAATTTGAGTATTAGCCTTTTAAAAAACATCATGATAAAAGCTAGCAATTAAGAGACTAATAGAAATGTTTCTATTAATAGAATACCATACTTCCAAAGAATGATGCTACCTAAGTGTCAAGCTGCCACACAAAAATCAATGTTTAAAAGGAAGGTCTTTACAGACTCTTACTACAGGCATGCAGTTCTACTATATTTTTGCCCAATGAAAGACTAGACAAAAGCCAGATGATTTCTTAAACCACTTGAAACAAAAACCTCCAAAACAGGAAAGTAACACTGTAAAAACACTCTCTCCTTACTTGTTCAAGGCCTCCACTGTGACCAATATGATTCAAATGATTATGCATTAACTGACAAGGGTTGCTAGATGTATCCCGTGCAAACAGTAACCAGGAGAAGACAGGAACTCTCCTTCCATTTCTATCATCGTTGTATAATTCGATGGCGGTGTTAAGCATCAAAAATTTCAGTGCTTCATAGAGACTATACTCCTCCTCTTCATTTTTAAACAATTTATCACAAGCTTCTTGTTTCTCAATAGGACCCTTGATTTCACTTATATTCTTCCACTATAAAAAAAATAAACAAAACACACACAACATGTATCAATAGCCATCACCATGCAAGACCTGCAAAAAGCCACATGAATTGTCAGATCCACAGCATAGGCACTCAGAATTTAATTTATGAAGGGCTTTGTGCCTTTTTAAAATCACTCGAGAATATTTCCACAGCTGTAGTCCTATCAAGATCTAGTTGAGTTAGTCTGATTTTGCTTAAATTAGTCCTTAAGCAAAGCAAAAGAAGGGGATGTTGGAAATTGTTGCAAGGTGGCAAAACAAATATTGTCATGGGACAATAAGCAATAAGATAATAACTTGTTTGTTTCCTGTATCATAAATCTTACATCTTTTATATTCTTTACATTCCAGTTACTCAGAATGCGTATTTCATTCCCACCCTCAGAAACTGCTTGAATGCAGCCTTTAAAATATTCCTAAAAGCCTTCCAAAAACCCAGAATATGCATACACAGTAAGACAGGAACAACTGAAGATTTTAAATAGGTTCCAGAGTTTCAAGGGGGGAAAGATGGGGCTAGATAATACACTACGAACACCAAAACAGCAAAACCATCTTCCTGTTACATTAACCTAGAATAAAAACATATAAACGTGGAACTTCTTTGAAATTACTTCAGCATTATTCTGTATTTTTTTTCTTTCCATGACCTGTTCAAGGTCGCAACAGCATTTATCCATAGTATACATCATTCCTTCAAATAAATATAAGTAGTAACAGAGGCAAAATGTTCCTCTGTTACATTAATTTCTTCATTGAAACCTGTCTAACTAATAGTTTTCTGCAGAGCTTACAAATTAATTCCAGCATCAGGCTAATGCAAGCAGTGGAACACCAGAAAACTCCCACAGATCTGAACAGATATTCTTTTCTTGGTTTTTCTTTTTGTAGTATACATACAGAAAAAGTGACTTTTTTCACTAGTGAAAGCATCCTTATGCTAAATTCACCACATTCAAAAATCTTTGTCATTTTTCTTATTTGCAAGTGACCAAGAATAAACAAATATTTTTCCAACCTTTTTCCTTAGAAGTATTAAATATTCTTTAATTTCATCACTTATTCCTCCCATCTTCCTGCCCAATTTCTGTTTTAGCTGCCACTGCTTGATCCAGTCATATTTGCTCATCAAGTTTTCAGGAAGCTGGACGTTGAGAGAAGAAAAGACAGCTTAAGTCAAAAATCTTGAAAGGAAAAGCCACCAACTTGCACGTTATTATTTTATTGATTTTTTTTTTTTTTAAATAAAGATTTTGCACATTAAAACAATCCCTCTTATGTTCTTCTGAAGACACATCATACTAAGATGACCATAACTGAACACAACTGGCTCTTTTAATACTTGCTGGATAACGGTCAGAATACTGGCCTATTACTACTTCCAGATCTAACCAATATATAAGCACTGGGAAAATTAATCACTCTAAGTTACTCATGGCTTTTTTTTTTTTTTTAATTAGGAAAAACCCTCCAGCACCATATGACAGTGACTGTGTTTGAAAGTGTCCCTGAACCAACAGAAGAGAAGGTTAAAGATGTGATGACATCCACCAGATAAGCCAGAAGTCTTGATGGAGTGCAGCCTACTTAGTCCAGAACACACAAACTGTGTTTTCTTTTCAGGGTATATAATTAAAATACTATGGGACTGGTTTTCTGATAAAGAAGAAAACAACCTGGGTATTAGTTGATGCATCAGATCATACTTTAGCCTCAGAACTGCCTCTTTGACTGCTCACATGCTACACCTGCTCAACTAAGAGCTTTTACACGTCTCTTGAAGGACATCCTGGCAGTTGCATGCCCATTTTTTTTTTACCCTCATTTATTAACCCATTTTACCGCTAGAACTGGAAGAGCATCTTGTATCTCACAATGAATTAAATATTTGGCTAAGCAGCACATATGCCATCAGCCATTACCAGCTAGTTTTCATTTTATCAGGACTCCAAGTTAGTAATACCTTCTCTTTAATGGCAAGTATTTGTCAGATATACACAGACCTTCCCCCAACCCAGCCTGGCATCCTATGCTAATTGGACATATAGGAGTAAATAATCAAAGATTATAAGCCAGTAACTTCTACAAGTAGAAATGTGCATGTAAACACTGTTTTAAGTTTAAAAAAAAAACAACAAAAAACAACTTTGTTAAAATTGTACTGCTAGCTGTCACTACACACATTTCTCTTACATGCCTTCTCCTTTGACGCATTAACCGTTTATCATTTCAATCAGTTTGGTTTATAGTTTTACACCTTTTAAAAAAAAAAATGTTAATTACCATATGGCACATTTTAGGAAGAAAAAAGGTGAACATCATTAAAAACTGCAAAGTACACCGTTTTAAAAAGTTTGCACGTTCTTTAAAGGAGCACTGGGAAACTATCTTCTATAGTTTGATAATGTGGAGATGGTTGTCAGCTGGGAGAATGTTTTTTTTATAGAAAGGAAATCTTTTCACAATGTACTGCTGCAGTAAGAAACATTTCATAGAAATATTTTTATCAGTAATTACAAAAACATACCAGCAGAAGTTTACTTAATGATAGTGACCACAATGAGAAATTTTAAGATGGCCTCTAAAGTTATACAGAAAGATAATAAGAGCAGTGTGATTCTACCTGGACTGCTAGCCTACGCACAGAGTCTGCATCGGACATTCATCATTTACATTTCCAGCAGCAACCCGGACAACTGGAACCTTACTCCTCTGACGTGGGCCACTTTTGTATAGGCAGCTTCTTACATGTTTCTTCCATGTTCACTGATACCGCCAAATGGACTTTGTCGACACAAGACAATTTCTGGAATATTCTTCTACTCTTCGTAAGACACCTTGCTTTGCTTTATCGATCAATGCTCCATAAGAACTGTTCTTCATGTCAGGTTGGAGTTGCTCTTACACTTATTTCAAGTAACATTTAAGACACGGGTAATACACACATTCTGAAAAGCCTACAGCATCCAATTTGTTAATCCACTCTCTAGAGAAACCATGTATGGCACACAAGAATACATTTGGGCACACAAGAATACATTTGATAATTTTGAAAAGCTGGGTTTTTTTCAAATGTGCTTAGAATAAGTTGTCTGTATTTTTTGTTATTACCACTGCCTTGTGGGAAACCTCTTACTGCTGTATTACATGCAGTAAGAGGAAACCAAGAGGGCAAGATGAAGACAGACAAGTTACATTACAGTCAGCACTACAGTATCATTTATACACTATAAGCTGGAAACTAAGGGGACCTGGACTCAATTCCAAGTTGAAAGCATCACTGTAAACGAACAACAAAACTGAACGCTACCACTTCTCAATTCAAGGGATATTGAGAAGTGAGCATATATAGAGAAATGAGATCATAAAATTATCACATAGGTTAGAACCAACATTCTTCTACTATCAGAAGACCAGAGTTTGACACGTACCATAGTAAAATCCTCACTCTGCAGCCAGCTTGGTAACTGGGTAGCTTGGCTTAGTGCCTGGAAAAGAGTTGCTCTGAGAGCACAATAGTTATCACCTCGTACTCTCCTTATAGCTGCAAACTTCTGAGCAACTGCTTCATATCCCTAGAAAAACACAAAATCCAAATAACATGAAAGCATTAATAAAACATTCTAAGGTCATGCACTGGAATCATAAAAGATATTGGAATATTAGCATCCAAATGCTAACGCTATTCAAAAAAAAAAAAAAAGGGTTTGACCCACTACCCATTTTGGAAGTTCAAATGCTTTCATGTCACAAATTATGCTTTGAAAAAAACTTCCTTAGTTCTGCTAAATAACAAACAAGAAACCAAATAAATCTAAGTAGATAATTGGTTGTGGCATTTATTTCATGACAGAGCATAAATATCATTGCAATGTGGTTTCAAAAAAAATCCAAGCATACCAACATACACACACAAGACTCTAAATCTAAAAATATATCATGCTTACAAGAAGTTTCAGCAATAGTTTATGCTATTTACCCAATACGTGTCACACGTAGTTTGTTTCTGCCTCAGGGAAAATTTGTGTTTACACTGAAATATCTTGACACATGCCTCAGCACATTTGTCCCCTCCCTGCTGTTCCCATATGTACACTTTTAGCAGAAGCAGCAATGGTGAAATGTAACTTCTGAAGCTCAGCACGTCTCTTCAGCTAACCTAGCAAGAGCGAATGCCCTGTGCATCTGTATTTCTCTCTGACTAATCTCTTGAAGGTGACACATGGATCTTTTGATTTATGGAAAGCATTTTTTAGGTTTACTCATACATACCACTAAGTTTTCAAATTGTGTTGATAAAACAAAACAACAAAAAAACCCCAACCAACCTTATGCTTTGTTTTCTACCGTTCTAGCTCAAAATTCATGTAAGAAAACTAGTCCAAAACCTACAAAAAATAAGAATTCAGGAAAAATTTAAGAAAAACTGAGCCTATTCATTAAAGGTCCCCATCTTAAAACCCATGCAATTCACCAACTTCAGTTATTTGCCTTCTGCCAAAAAGTTTGGTTATCTGCTCTGCCATTTCAACGGCCCACAAAATTCCCATTTTATGGCAATAAACCAAATCTAAAACTTCAACTGAAAACAGTAACGAAGAACAGTATTAATCAAAACCCTACACTATCAACAAGCAGCCTTACTAAAAAACACATTTTGAACAAGTATGAACACAACCATCTTCCAGTCGTCAGCCATTTCTAAGACCAGGCAATGGAAAACATTGCTATTGCATTTCCTGCTTTAAAGATTGTTCCCATTGGAAATCACCTACTAAACATACAAATGAAAACAAAAAGCCCAACAAAATTCAACAAAAAGAGAACTGTTACCTTTCTCATCCTTTTTGCTACTGGTGTATCTCCCCTCCACTCTTTTCTGCAATACTCCATGACATCCATTTCAGGTGCAACACTTAGTTTATATTCTGTCAAAACAGAATATGTAACATTACACTGAGAACTGTGAAACAGAACAACACAGAAAAAGCATTGAATTTCTAAATACTCTGTCACTTCAACATTGGTGCCAAAGGAGACTGGCAGCACAACCTATAGCTACTAAGTAATTATTAGTATCGGAGGGGGGAAAAACCAGCTTGCTCTGAAAATGACAAGTGAACAAAAATAATGATGTAGTCCAACAAAATAGAGAACACTCTGCTCCTCTCTTCTACAAAGCATTAATTGGCCACGAGTAGAAATTAGCAGAATACTCTTCATTTTCTTAGCAATCAGAAAAATATTTGACAAAAGTTTTTCTTCTTCTTTCAGCAGCAAGACTGTAAGGGAGAAAGATAATAGATCTTTCTGAATAAGCTAGCAACAATGGTAGAAGTAGAGTTTTCTCTTGGAATCCCAACAGCCTTAATTTCAAAACAGATAGCACTAAGGTTATCAAGGGATCCCAGCAACAGATGCTGCTATAATGACTATAAATCAGTACTTTTCAAGCACAACACTTGTAACATAGGCTATATGACTGCTTTCCAAAGGATTCCCATTCTCTTGTAAAGTAAGTATAGAAACACAGAAAAAAAAAATAATACTAAAAGCAACTAGTTTTACATAACATTTATCTTTTCATGAATTAAACTGTACAACGTACTCAGTCATGATAAGTAACTTGTATTGCACAGAGACATCCGTGCACAAAAATCCTTGGAAACGAGGGTGTCAAATCATCACAAATTAGTGCTACAACGAATTGTAATACTGTATTTGAAACACCGCACAAAATTTGAATGTACCTGAAGAGCTTGTCTCACAAAGTAATATTTTCTCTCTCTCTATTTCTTCTGCATCACGATACATGTCCTCCTCACTGCAATAAAAATCAACACATACTTCATGTAACAGCATGAATCTTACAGTCATTTACCTTTTCCCCTGTTTACAACTACAGGCAAGTAATTAAGTCTTTCTCCAGTTATTTTTTCAACTCAATTTGCTTTCCATCTTACACATTTTCATAAACCAACATGAGCTCTCAAAAAAAAAAAAGTTAAAAAAAACCCTCTCAACTGTTCCCCTCCCTTATTTATGACACCTACATTGGTAATGAATCACTGCCTGAATTTCTCTCCTCCTGGTTGTATGGAGACTACAGAGTACTGAAGTCCCTTTGTAAATTTTACAGGATAAATTTGCAAATGATGCAAGCCAAAACGCCTATTTGCTGAGTATATGAATACTACAACCTATGCATGCAACTAAGAATGCATTACGCACCAGAGCTGTGTATCTACACTCCCCTGGGGCTGAGCAACCTGCCTAGTAATGAGCAGAATACCCGACAGAATATCAAGATGAAGAGTAGCCAGCTATCCGCAGCTGGTTTGAATGTTACAAACTCAAAGAAAACAAAATTCTAGGCATGATCCAAGCTGCAGCCTACAGGCTAACTGAAATCCAGACAAACACTTCTTCCGCGTGGGCTTTTTGGTCAAGGTACGCGGTCTTAAGAGTCAAATGTCTCCATCTGAGCCTATATACAGACACTCTGAAGTCAAGTTATGACCACAAGGGAGGAAATAATGGCCTAAAAGGATACTGTTTCTGTGCATAGCCTACCATTATCAAGAAGAGATCTCGAAGCTAGGGTGTGAACATTACTGTTGAGAATGGAGGTCCATACAGTGTTCAAAAAACAGACAATAAATTGCACATTCCTTTAAATGTGATTCTGACTGGCATTTGTCATATAATTAAATCTAGCAAATAAATTTTAAAAAAATCATAGTTTCACAGCTAAAATACTTCAAAAAAAACCATACACCACCAAACATATTAGTAAATCATTTAGGCTTACCACTAAAAGAAGGTTACATTGAGAGTTTGTGTTTTGAAGAAAGTACATGTGCAGAAAAAAACTGTAAGGTGGTTATTCATTGCCCACTACTATTAGTAGCTTCTAATCTACTACTCAAAAAAGCCCAAACCCAAACCACAGCGTGCTTGCAAAAGACCAGGAAGAAATTAAGGCAATGATCCTGCCCCATCTTACACTACTAAGAGAGGACAAGCAGTTTGGAAGACTGCAAGAAAGGGTTTAATGTAGCCAGCTGGTAATTAGATTACTCTCATTAAACGTGAAAGAATAGACTGGTAAATTATGGCTCTGTATTTCTTTTTCTTTATATCCAAACCAGCTTACTTAAAAAAGGTAACATTTCTAACCCATTTGCATATATTTCCCTTGAGAACAAATAAATGTTTAGTATAAAGACAAATAGAGGTTAATACCAGAAAACTGTCATCCACTGTTGCAGTCATATGAAACTACAGTTTAGTTTTTACTGAAGTTTCAAACCTTTAACTTTCAAATTAGGTCTCCTGGGTGCTCAAGTAGCGGCTTGAAATCTGATTCCTAACAATACTACATAATTATTAATTAAAAGAGAAACAATAGATGCAGTAGATATTAAACACAGTACTCCAAAAAAGAGCACTACCTGCTGAGAAGAAAAATCATAGAAATACTTATCCCAAGTCCTTATCCTTGTTACAGCGTGGCACTGGACAAACCCTAATTTCCATGCATAATCTTATTTCTCAGTAGAGATTAAGGTCCATTAAGGTTTGTGAAGAATTTCAAGAATACTTAATAACCTTGAAAATACTATGAAAAAAACCAAACAACTCGGTATCTGACAGCAGCTATCTCTAGCCTAGCTTATCTATAAGCTAAGTGTTTAAAATACAAAGCAACAACCGCCCCCTCTGAGCATGAACAAACCCGCTTCTACAAGGGATCCCACGGGAAGTGGCGGGGTAGGGGGGAAGCGTTACTTTGGGATACATCCTTGAACACATGTAGGCTATAATGCACAAAGATAAAAAGTGCTCAACTTAGTAAACTAGTGAGGTCACTCAAAAAAGAAGTTTGGTGTAGAGTAAGCAGTGCCATGTTCCTTCTGCAGATATTACCCCATCTTCTTTCCAGGGGTTGACAAAATAAAACCCATAGATTCAGAACCTGACAGATTAACATCCAGCGTAAACAAATTACTGTAATTTAACTGAGTTATTTTGAAATCAAGGTAGCTAAGAGGTGCAACCTATCTACACAGGTATTCTCATTTCAGAGTTTAAAGCGCATCTTAACATTGTTCTAGCATAGCACCTGTTAAGTAAATCTGTGGAAACAAGAATGTGGAAACCAAAGCCTTGCCCCATTAATCTTCACATTGATATTTGACAATAGAGTGAAAATAAAATAACAGGTGGAAAAGAATAATTAAATGAAAACATGCATGCACAAAAGAAAAAAAAAACCAGTGCATAGTGCTGT